TTTTTTTTTTTTTTTAACGTGATTGCCCTTCTCATACTTGAACTAATTAGTCAGCAAATACCTATTTAAGGCCATCAACTGTGTCAGATGTTGGGGATGAGAAGACAAAAGGAAAATATTTGCTGCCCTAAAGGAACTTAAATTCTGTAGCGCCATAGCTTCCCCAGGTCTTCTGTTCTCTAACTTAAACACCTCCAGTTCCTTTGACTTATTTTCCTGCAGACTGTCCAGACCCTTAAACCATATTGGTTGCCCTCCTCTGACACATTCTTTCCAAGGAACTGTTCTTCGGTACTAGAGAAAGTGTTATCACTAGGTTTCAGGAATGCAACAGGATGATTACTTTTTATTCTAGACATTATACCTAAGATCAGGTTAGCTTTTTTGGATGTCATGTATTGGATTTTTGGTTTCTTTAATTTACTAGTTGGCATCTTTGATTGCTTTCAATAAATAATTGCCAAGTAGAAGTCAATAAATTTTCTTACCATTTACTAGGGATAGTAATTGGACCTGTGATTTGATCAGGTAGTCAGCTGCTATTGAGGAACATGTATGAATGAGGATCTGCACTTTCTCTGTCTTAGAAAGGTGCTTAGGACACTGAGAGATTGAATGCCTTGCCCAGTGTCACACAGTTAGTATGTATCAGAGGCAGGACTTGAACCCAGTTTCCTGTGCTGACACCAGCTTTCTGTCTACACCAGTATTACTAAACTTTTGCATTGTTTCCTTTGAAAATTTAAAAGGTCTATTCAGGACATATCATAAATTTTTATGACAACAGTCTTACTGGTTTCATTCATTTAATACATTTTTTATAGTGATTCTTCAGCCAGATATTCTGATTGGAGGGCTGATGTTGGCATTAATCTTCAACCTCCTTTAAGAACCTCATCGCGTCGTAGAATTTTACGGTATTGCAGTAGCTCAGAAGATGAAGTATCTGTTGAGAAGTTATCTACTCCAAAGAGAAGGCGAAAGAGGAAAAAATGTAAACCTAAGAAGTCGGTATGAAAAAAAATCTGTGCTTTCTATAAGTTTATTTTTATTTATTTTACCAATTTAATTATAAGCATTTATTTTTGTTTTCTCCTTCCAACCTCTTCCTTCAAATTGGAAAAAAGAAAACTGTTGTAACATATGCAGTTAAGCAAAACAAATTCCTACATTGGTTATGTCCAAAAACATGTTTCATTTTGGATATTGAGTCCATCGCCTCTCTGTCAGGAGATGACTAGCATGGTTCATCTTTAATCCTCTGGAATACTGATTGGCATTGATGGAATATCTTAAGTCTTTCAAAATTGTTAACCTTTACGATATTGTCCTGTTTTTGCTTATTTTTATTTCACTTTGTATCAGTTCCTGTATGTATGCACAGGTTTCTCTGAAACTGTCTTTTCATCATTTCCTATGGGATAGTGGTATCCTATTACATTAATAAACCCAAATATGTTTAGTGTCTAGTTCTTTGCCACTTTTAAAAAGAGCTAATAGAAATATTTTTTAGCATTACGGTCCTTTTAAACTTTCTTTGGTCTAACTGTGATATAGATCAAGTAGTGGTATCATTGGATATGTGGCTATACAGTTTAGTGACTTTCGGGTCATTGTTCTACATTGCTTTCCAGAATGACTGAAAAAAAAAAAATCACAGCTATACCACAGTATATGAGTGTCTGCTTTCCCCCAGCTCCTTCAAATTTTGTCATTTTTTAAAATCAACTTTACCAATTGACAGGTATGAGGTAGAAATTCAGAGTTGCTTTAATATGCATTTTTAAAGAATGATTAATGTTTTAGAGCACTTATTTTCTATTGATAGGTTTGATTTCTTCCTTTGAAAATGCTTTAACAATTTTATCAATGGGAATGACTTTTTTCTTATAAATTTAAATCAATTATGTATCTTATAAATTAGATCATTATTAGAGAAACTTAAGATTTTTTTCTCCAGTCAACTTTTATCTTCAAAACCTTTTTATTTTATATAATCAAAATTGTGCATTTTGTTTGCTGTGATCTTCTCTAAACCTTACTAATTCATGAACCTTTCCCCTGTCCATAGTTCTGGAAGGTAAAATGTCTTCATTTTTTCCTCTGATTTGTTTATGACATGACCTTTCATACCTGAGTCATGTTATTTGGCTTATTATGTTATTTGGTATGAGATATTGGTCTAGTCATAATTTCTGCTACACTGCTGTCCAGTTTTCCAACATTTTTTGTCAAGGAATAAGTACTCAACTCCAGTAGCTGACATCTTTGAGTTTATCAAATGTTAGGCATCTAAATACTGTGTAGCTGATTTGTTCCACTAATGAACCTTTCTCTTACTTCTTAATCAGCACCAAATTATTTTTATGATTATACTTTGTTGTATATTTTGGGAACTACTACTGCTGGTGCCCCTTTCTCACTATTTTTTTCATTATTTCTCTTGAGATTCTGTACTTTTGGTTCCACCAGATTAATTTTAGTATTATTTCTTAGTATTTTGATTTGTTTGGTGCTAAATAAACAAATTTAGGTAGTGTTGTCATTTTCATTGTATTGGTTCAGTTGTGCTCAATTGTATTGAGCTCAGTTGTTAATTGAGTAATTAACATTTCTTCAATTATTTAAGTCATTCTATTTCTTTAAAGAATGTTTTGCATTCCTATAGTTTTGGGAACACTAATATTTTGGATCTTCTACTGTATAGAATTTGCAAAGGATGACTCCAGCTGAGCTTGAAAATATAGAACTATTATATGAATTTCATCCTCCAGTTTGGATAACAGATACTACACTTCGAAAATCTCCATTTGTTCCTCAAATGGGTGATGAGGTAAGAGTGGTAAATTTTTTGTAGGTATGATAAATTTTGGTAGATAATAAAATCAGGCTTAATTATTTGTTATTCTATATGCCTTAATTTTCTTTTTGTAGGTAATATATTTTCGACAAGGTCATGAAGCTTATGTTGAGGCAGTTAGGAGAAATAATATTTATGAGCTGAACCCCAACAAGGAGCCATGGAAGAAGATGGATCTTAGAGTAAGTTTTATTACCATTTTTTGTGTAAAAACAATTTTACCTTTGCATACCAACACTTAACACATACCTGGCATATAGTAAGTTCTTAATAAATACTTGCTTATTTGACTATAATTAGTTTATGGGTTCATTTTACAACCTTTTGGGAACAACTATATATGCATAGTCATGTAAATTTCCATTTGTCAGTTTTATAAAAGCAAATAACTTTTTACTGTTGTCTTCTAAACCTTAAGATTTAACATAGGCATTGACTTAAAGAAAAATACTATAATAAAAGGTTAAAATGCTAGTCCTAAACATGAAAATAAAAATGTTACTTATTGCCTATACAAACAGAACACTTAAATTGAGAGGAGGGTAAGTGGATAGTGCTATCTGTAAAGGAAGAGATAGGGAGTCTTTAAGAGATTGCTTAATAATGCTTTTAACAGTACCACTCAAGTAACTTTTTAAAAATCTCTTGAAGGATCAAGAATTGGTAAAAATAGTTGGGATGCGGTATGAGGTTGGTCCCCCTACACTATGTTGCCTTAAGCTCGCTTTTATAGACCCAGCCACTGGAAAGCTTCTGGACAAGTCCTTCTCTCTTAAGTATGTATTTTTCTGTTTGTTTAGTTATGAATTAAATTTTGATATCACTAATATGAGTATTGTTCTGTGCTAATGGGTTGGTGCCAATAGCAGATACTTGATGTTCAAAAGGGATGAAAAACCTTGACCTGTCTTTTGCATTCTAGTAAAAAGAGTAAACAAAGAATTGTAGGTATTTGAGAATGTTTATGGTTGTACTCAAGTTGACATGGGGAGGGAGCAAGGGCAAATGGGTTTTTTATAGCAGCCACTTGGGGTTTGAGTCTTAGGTTTGATATTCTGGTGCACTACTCTTGGCATGTGTTGTGAGAATTGCTGACCTATGAGAGAAATTTGTTCTAGTCTTTTTTTGTTTTTTTGTTTTTTGGAACGGGAGCATGTGTTAGGCAGCAGGGAATATTATTGGCTGCAATAATTATGCAATGAAATTAATAAAATACATTATTTTAGATATCATGATATGCCAGATGTTATTGACTTTCTTGTACTACGTCAGTTTTATGATGAAGCACGACAGAGGAACTGGCAAGCTCGTAAGTCTTTTAAGTTTCTACAAAACCTTACATGTTAGGATAGATTATATGATGTGATTGAGTAATGTTGATTTTGTATCTGCATTTAATAATAAGTCTTTGCAAGATTAGTAGACTGTTGTTAATACTAATCTCAATTCAATAACCATTTAGTATATACTATTTGCAATGCATTATTTAATAGATTCTCAACATTTTTTACTTTCAGAAGGGTATGTTTTGGGGAAAGATTTACTATTTAAATAATTCCTTGTGAATACTGAGTGTTTTTTCCATTTTTTTTTTTTGGTAGTTGATACTGGTTTATAACACAAATTGGCCTAAGAATTCCCAGATTATAAACAGAAAACTGTTTTAATTTATTCAGATCTTTCGACCTGATTGCTGTGTTAATCCAAATTTAGATGAGAGGTGTCTAAAGATGTTAGTATTCATTTTGTATACTACACACGATACAAATTAGATTGTAGATATTTATATCTTCAGTGCCCTTCTTGACAGACGTAATTGAAATTAGGCAAACAGGTATACTTATTACATATTTTTTAATCAAATATAGGAATTAGAAAATGAATTACAGAGAAGTTTTTTGTGTCAGGCTCATTTTTTGTTTTGTTTTGTTTTGTATAAGGTTTTTGTTCTCCCATGTTATTGCATAATTGATAATTTGAGTTGACTTTAAATACCCAAAATACACTTAGAAAGTTAGCTTGGTTTTCTACTTCAGAGTTGTACACATTTGCCTTACTATTTAGTGTATATAGTTATATGCTCTCAGGTGTATGGAGGAACAGGTAAGAAAATAATTTTACATTGAGTTTAGTTTATAGCAGAGTTCGTCTTTCTTTCATCAAGTCTTGCTTTCCTCTCATCTGAAAAAAAATCATTTTCAGAGCACATCTAAAACATTTAATATGGCAGGTTTAAAGCCTTTATTATAATAGATCTTCCTAGTTTCTGCACTAAGAAAAGATAAGATCTAGGCAATCATCATCCTTTGAAATACAAGATAATGGGAGAGTACGGTTGCTCTTAACATGCTATTCTTAACAGTAATATCTGCACAGGTAATCAGTATTGTTCTGGGACTAGAAGTAGAGGAAGTTTTTCTTGAAGTAGAATGTCTGGCCAAAAGGAGAAAAAGATGAGGCAGCTGGTACATGTGAGGGTTAACCTTCATACAGTCAAGTCCCAAAGAATTAAAGCTACCATCCGTATATTTTTTGGAACCCCTGGAGACGTAAGTTAGAAGCTCTCATTTTATTTTCCCCTACCCATTTAAGTTTTTAAAAATTTTGTTCTCTACAACTAAACTTGTGGAGATCATATTCAAGTGCTTTCTTGTGACTTAAGTTAAACAGTTTTGTGGCTGAAATTCTTTTACCACATTATTTTTCCATAACTTCAGTTCAGACATTAGTTCCCAAACGTTCAAGACGGTGACATTTGTGGTGCTTTAACACCTGTAATAGACACAAGTTGGTATGCTCTACTTGGGATCTTTTGATTTCTATACTAAAAAGGCTTTTTTTCTCCCACAAGAAAATCTTTGAAAGAAAATCAACTGGCTTCAAAACAAATAATTAACAAGGCTTTTCAGCTACAATTTAAAACATGATCATATTCTTCCTTGCCACTTCATTTGTGACCTGTGCCTTTTTCTGTTTCGGTTGGTGGTCTTGAACTGAAAAGGTTTTTTGTTTGTTGAAATAGAGAAAAATTATCTTGTGCAAATGAAAGAAACTACTATAAAAGTAATTGTTATTTTAAAAATAGAGGCCCTTCTTAACCAGTTTTGTACTTCAGAAAGATAGCTCATTATTATGTTGAGTGCTGTATCACTTTTCTGTTATTAATTATTTTAATCTTCCCTGAATTATTTTAAGTGCCACAATATAACCAAAATTATTTATTATGAAGTATGAAGAATTTTTTTATAATTTTTTTCTATCTTTCATCTCATCAGGTCACTAGTATACATCCATTTCATCATTTTCTTCTTGTTGGTTTTGTTATAAAGTTGATGTTTGTTTTAGAAACAGTGTATCTCTATGGTGAGATCATTTTATTAAAGGTAGACTCTTCAAAATTTTATAGCTAATAATACTTGTTTAATTCTTTGTTGGTATCTGATGTTTCTAGTCAATTTGAGAAATAATGTAGATTTCAAAAGTTGCATCTTAGTTATATTAAAGCATTTTAGGATGTTTGACTCAATCAGTCAAATCAATCTGTGTGGGCCCAAAGTTTTGTAAATCTAGTAGGTAAGGGCTTGTATTTATAAAGTAGCTGTGGTTTTATTTTGTTTTGTTTTGCAAGTTTCCACAAGATACTCTGAAAATTTTTCTTCAGATAGTCTGCTTTTTTGAGAAGCATGCCCCACATAAAGTTGCCCCAAGCAGCACCAGCTTTCATAAATATTCGTAAACTATAATTCAACCACACCCCAAGTCCAGAAGAATTCCAATTAAAATAATTTAATTCCTCACCGCATCCTGAACAATTTAATCAGCTTCCACATAATCTTACTTGTCCTATTTGTTATACCATTCCTAAAAAAGGCAGAAAGTGGATTTGCTTCCAGAGACTCTAGCCTCTCATGCTACCTTTTCTACTCATTTTGCTGGCTATTTCTGGATTCTTTTCTTTCCCAATTCAGTCTCTGTGAAAGTTCCTCTCCTTCCAAAGAAGAGAAATAAAAGGCATTCACTTCTACTTCTCCTTTTGAAGCTAGCCAGCTTACTGACTGATTTCCAAAATGCTCACTAACCAGTTGGTTCTTTTATTCTCCAATAGCCAGATGAAATCTTTTGTGCTCTGAGAGTCATACAACAATTGGAAACTTCAGAGGTAGCTCTGATGGCTTGTGAGATCTTCTCAACTTTCACCCATCAGCATTCAAGCAATTCATCTTGTACATGTTTCTTGAGATTTCCCTATTACAGTCAAGTCTCTCTAAAGACTGATTTTAAAGTTTTATGATTTATGGGACTGTCTCTTAGGAGACTCCTAGTCCCACTTACAGTATTATTCCCGTGGAACTAGTTACCTTTAACAATATTGTTGCACTTAAAGCTACAGTAGTGCTTGAAAATTTATCTTATTTCTCTTTTTCATTACAAAGAATTAGAATCACGAATTTTTGTGAGTTGTTTTATAGTTTTCTTACGGCAGTGTGGGTAGCTTTTTTTAGTGATGGTTTTGGATTGACAGCAAAGGGTGTGTTTCTTTTAAAAAATTATGTGTGTATATAGGCATATATTTATGTGTATATATACACACATATATGTATATGAAACAATGATGAATTTAAAACACATTACATATAGAATAAAAACCATGAAAAATTTAGTTGTAGAATATTTAAACCACACATTTTTAAATTTAAAAATTTAAATTTAAATTTAATTTAATTTTTAATTTAAATTTAGAAATTTAAACCAGCAGCCTTTATTACTAAAAACAAGTATATACACCTTATAAATTCATAACTTTGTTCATGTTATTTTTATCATACCCTATTTTCCTCTCAACATTTTTTTTGTCTGAGAGTATTTACATAATTGCATTGTCTTTCATCCTTCATAAAATATTTTTACAAACATTTATGTAGTACTTTCCGTGGTGTCAAATGTGGTAGGTATTTAATATTTTATACTTTTTAATAATAAACACAAGTTTCTGTGACATATATAAAGCTACTCTTTTATATAGAGCTTTAAGGCTTACAAACCATTTTATAAATATTATCTCTCTTAATACTTATAACAACTTTAGAAGGAAGATACTATTATTCCCATTTTATAGGTGATGAAACAAGCTGAGGGGTTAAATGACTTGCCCAAGACCATATAGCTAGTAAAGGTGTGAGGCAGGATTCGAATTCTATCCTTTGTGACTCCAAGTCCAGTGTTCCATCTATTGCACCACCTAGCTAGAGATGATAGTTAGAGGTATTGTCTTATTTAAGAATCAGATTATTATTTCTAGTTTAGTTATCTCTAGTTACATAATAGCTAACATTTATATATAAGGCAGCTAGGTTGAATATCAGATGGAGTGCCAGACCAGGAGTCAGAAAGACCTGAGTTCTTGTCCTGCCACTTCCTAGCTATATGAACATGAGCAAATCACTTAACTTCTGTCTCTAATCTGTAAAATGAAGATAATAATAACACCTAATTCCTAGAATTATTGTGAGAATAAAATGAGATAATACTTTTCAAGTGCTTAGTAAACCTTAAAGTACTACATACATGCTAGCTAGCTTTTATAATAATGATGATAATCATTATTATTATTATTATTATATAGCACTTTAAAATTTATAAAGCATTTTACATTCATTCTTTCAGATAGTAACAGCTTTAGGAATTGGAATGCTATGTGGTAAATTTCCAGCTTGTTAGCAGCTTGCTAAAATTCTAGCTTATTATGGGCTTGTATAATTGTGATTTTTTTTCTTTTGATGATGGCATATATTTAATTTGGGTACCTGAACTAGACAAATGCATTCTGATTTAGACTGTGTTGTGTTCCCAGTGTGTTTCTATTTGTTGTTTGATATTTTAGTAGTTTTATTAATGCAGGCATCAGTATTTGTCCTGGTGAGAGTTTTTGGACTCAGTAAGTTTTTTAGTTTAGTATAATTCATTATAGCCACTAAACGGTCACATTAGTTATGGGACTTTCTAGTCATTGATATGGTAATATCAACAACTCAAGTGAATAAGTAATTTTTATCAGAAATTTTATTTAAAATAAGAAAATAATGTTGTTCATTGTGTACTTCCTGCATAATCTTTTTAAAAGTCTGGTAGTTCTTTGCATTTTAAAAAATAGTTGCTATTTCTTTTACAGGAGACAGATTTCGATCTATAATTGATGATGCTTGGTGGTTTGGAACAGTGTTAAGTCAAGAGCCCTTTCAACCACAATATCCAGATAGTCATTTCCAATGTTACAATGTTAAGTATGTACAAAGATTTATGTTTACTATTCATTCAACACACATTTATTAAGTCCCTACTATGTGCACATACTATTCTAATTCCTTAAGTTAGAAAGATATATATGACACAGACCCTGGGAAGATAAGATCAGAAATAACTGATACAAAGGAGAAGAACAATGGATTAGCACTCTTAGAAAACTGAGGAGGTAGCTACCCTTTTCATCAAGGGATAGAAGTGGTGGGTTCAATACTAATGGAAGCTACCTGGAAGAGAAGTTGTGCCTGAGTTGGAGCTTGAAGGAAATGAAGTTTGGGGATAGGAGAAAGCAAGATGTGAATAAGGAATGGAAAATAATCCAGTTTGGGTGCCATATTGAATATTTGAATAACAGTTCACTTTTGTGTGGTGATTTAAGGTTTATGAAATACAACACAATAGGAAATAGTGTAAGATAAAGGTAGGAAAAAATCAGATTGTAGAGAAACTTGAATGCCATAATCAAAAGTTTCTACTTTATTCAATCAGTAATGGAAAACCCATAAAGGTTTTTGTGTGGATTGGTAATGTCATCAGAACTGTTTATTAGGATGATTACTTGTATGATGTATAAAGAATGTATAGATAAGAGGAGGGTAGATGAGAGACAGACTTGTAATACAGATTATTACAATAGTCTAGGTAATAAGAGGATCTGAACAAAAGCTTTTATGGTGGGAGTTGAGGAAAAGAGGGGGTGGATATGAAGTAGATTTAACAACACTTTTACATGATTGGATTTATAGTGGTGTCAAAGATGACTTGAGGGATTCTTAACTTGGGATCCCTAAACTTGGTTTTTAAATTTTTATAACATTGTATTTCAGAATAATTGGTTTCCTTCATAATGCCTTTTTTATTTTATATATTTAAAAACATTCTGAGGAGTCTATAGGTTTCACCACAATTCCAAAAGAAATACATGACACAAAAAAGTTAATAACCTTGGCTGTAGGTGACTGGGTAGATAAGGTTACCTACCATCACCATCAACAGAAAAGTTAGGGAGAGGAACAGGTTTGAGGAGGAGAGAATAAATTCAGTTTTGGACATAATGAGTTTAAAGCTTGTGGGCCCATCCTGATGGACATAGCTAGCTGGCATTTGGAAACATGGGACTGGCAACCTGGGGAGAAAGTGGGAGCAAGAGATACTGATTTGAGAGTCGTCTGCATTAAGGGATACTATAATTGAAGGTATTGAAGAGCTAAAGATGTGAGTTGGGGTATGAATGAGGAGTCTGCAGAAATGATGAAAGAGTGGTAAGGGAGATGAGGAGTCACTGTCATAGAAGCCAGAGGAACGGAGAATATTTATGAAAATCAGAAAGACATGTCTGACACCAGTCAAACAGAAACAGGAAGATGCCAAATTGTGTGCCAAGAAATACAGGGTATCCCCAAAGATCTTGTTTCAGTTTTAAGTTTAAAACTGAAACAAGACTTTTGAAGCATTCTTTATAATATAGAATATTTAAGTTGTCTCTCCCTATAAAATATAAGCTCCTTGAAGGCAGAAGCTGACATGCTTTTGTATTTATATCTCCAGAGCTTAGCATAGTGCTTGGTACATGGTAAGCAATGAAAATTTTTTTTTTATTCAATATCTGAGGGAGATTTTTTAAAAATTCACTTAGTTTAGCCTTACAGTAAGGATTCATTATGTTAAAGATCAGAAGATGGGTTGATATTGATTTGACTAGATATAATGCCATTTTAAACAATGCAAATAGTGTTTACATTTTAATTTTTAGACTAGTTAATATCTTACATCATTAGTCATGTTCCTTTTTTAAAAATCTGCCAATGGTGTCTAGTCCCAGCTATCATTTAAAATGTTTTTTACAAAGACTTAACTCTTTCTTTTTCTCTGACCTACTGATTAAATAGGTGGGACAATACTGAAATAGAAAAGCTTAGTCCGTGGGATATGGAGCCAATTCCTGATAATGGTATGTGGAAACTAACTAAATTATAAAGAATCATAGAATTTTAGATCTAAAAGAGGCTTTAGGGATTGAAGTCAATCCTGTCATTTACATATGAGCAAACAAGCCCAAAAAGGAAAATTATTTGCCCAGAGTCTCACAGTTATTAGTAGACATCAAGACTTGATTTTAGATTTCATATCATCTGATCAAATTCAACATTTCTGAATCTAAATTTGTTATATCTTCCCAATCTGACCAGTTTTATTAGTTCTTTTAATGATTTTTTTTTCAGTCTCAATCTTGGCATTATCTTGATTACCTAGATATCTTCACTTCACTTCTGTCTTATTTTCTTTTTATTACATAATTTTATCTTTTCACTGTTTTACCTTTTAATAAAGCTGACAGCATAATAACCAATGGAATTCATTTAACACTTTAGAATTTACAATATTTTGAAGATAGTAGGAAGTGTTCTTTTTGGTCTGGTTCTATGGTTTCATCAATGAAGGAAAATCCTGATATGGAACTCCTTCCTCTGTTGTAGAACAGCAAGTCATTTGTAACTTAAAGAGCTGCCTTTGGCATAGAGAAGTTAAGTGCTTTGCCCATGATCACACAGGTAATATATGTGAGAGGTGGGATTTGAACTTGTGTCTTCTTGACTGAAGCTGGACTTCTTTAGTATGCCATGCTGCCCATAGAGGTTATTCTTTCCATTTTACATATGGGAGAACTAAGACCCAGAGAAGTTGTGGTTTGTCTGTTGTGACATATCATGGAAGTAATGGAGCTAGGACTTGAACAAAGAGCTCTTGACCCCAAGTCTACTGTTCTTTTCCATTATGCTATTATTGATAAATGTAGAAATTATAGTGCTCTTTCTTGGGATGCCAAATACTAAAGAAAAATTATTCCCACTATCCCTTGCCTTCACTTCTGCTCATGCACATGCTGTTGAACAAATCTAGAGAAGATCATGAAACCATGCTGAGCCCATTACAAATTTATGTTATAATCTTAACTGGAACCTCACTGCAACAAGGCAATCATTTTTTACCTCTCTAATCCACAACAACTTTTTATCCTTCCTTAAACCTCCCAACAGTTCTCCTTTCCCCACTTTCTTACCTCAGAACCTTGCTTCACTTTCACTGGAAAAAATTGAGGCCATTTGCTGAGAGCTTCCTATTCTTTGTTCCTTCTTCTCAAATCACTCGGTGGTTTCTCCCGTTGTTTACTCCTTCCACCTCTTTTACCCAAAGAAATGACTCTTCTTGCCGAGGCAAACCCCTCTACATGCCCAAGTGATCCCATTCCATCCTGTCTTCTCCAATAGATTACCCCTTTATCATTCCTACTTTCTCACTAATTTTCAGTTTCTCTCTTTCTATTGTCTGCTTCCTACAGATATGTCCATGTCTCCCCTCTATCCTCAGAAAGCCCTCATTTAATCTGTCCATTGTCCCTTGGTTATTATCCTATATCTCTCCTTTTGTGGCAAAACTTGAGAAGGGCCATCTGAAAAAGACCCCTCTATCACCTTTTCTCTTCTTCTTAACTCTCTGAAATTTAGCTCTCTGGCTTCATTTGATTGAATCTTCTCTTTCCAAAGTTGCGTATGATCTTTTAATTGCCAAATCTAATGACTTTTTCATAGTCCTCATTTTTCTTGACTTCTCTGCCACCTTCACGCTGTCAGTCAAGCTCTTCTCCTTGATAACTCCATTCTGTCTAGGTTTTTGTGATACTACTCTTTCTGGGTTCTCCTCCAAACTGCTGCTTTTTTCTCCTATGCTGGATCTTCATCCACATCATACCTGCTAACAGTCAGTCTTATATTCTACCTCTACACTATTTCACTCAGTGATCTTACCAGTTCCTATGGTTTCAGTTATTACCCCTATATTGATGACTCTCAGAGCCATCTGTGACTTAACCATATTACCCCTCTTATTCTACTAGTGTGATCACCTTCAGGATCAAATATAAAACCCCCTATTTGGCTTTCAAAGCCCTTTGGAACCCAGCTTCTTCCTACCCTTTCATAGTCTTATTATACTTTTACCACTCTCCATGCATTCTGCAAGCCAGTAATACTAGCCTTCTTACTGTTATTATCACATGACATTCTCTCTCCCAAATGTTGAACATTTTGAGTGGCTATTTTTTGTGTCTAAAATACTATTTTTCCTTATCCATGCCTCACAGCTTTCCTTGCTTCCTGTAGATATCAGCTGAAGTTCCACCTTCTGCAAGAAATCCCACCCAATCTTCCTTAATCTTAATTTCCTCTTCTAATACCATCAGTTTATCCTTTATATATTCTATTTGTACATACTTGCTTGTATGATGTTTCCTTCTTTATATATACTAAGCACCTTGAGAGCAGGATTGTTTTTTATTTGTTTTGGGTTTTTTGCTTTTCTGTGTTTCCCCTGTACTTAGCACATTACCTGGTACATTGTGGGTGCTTAATAAAATGCTGGTGAACTGACTGACTGATGTGCCCATATCAATTTCACCTTTTCTGTTAATCATCTTTTTTATATTCCCTGGGCATAATCCTTCAATCTTTTTGCTTCTATAGTCCATGTTTGTAGTCTAATTTACATCCTTATTTGAAAAGATAGAAGCCATATTGCATGAGATCCCATACCTACCTTCACCTCAACATATCTCTATGTATACAATCTCCTCCTTTTGGTCTGAGAGAGTTGTCGCTTTCTCTCCAGAAAAACACCTGGGGTTCTCCTCCCACATCTTTCCAACCTACCCTCTAGGTGATTTCCCAATAGATCTTGACATTTTTAAAACAATAAAATTTTTGTTCACCTTGCAAACAGGTTAACTGCTTCTTTTTTTAACTTTTCCGTTCCAGATTTCTTCAATCCATGGTTTTTGTGCAGTCTCCTTGACTCTGACTCTTGACCTCAGTACTTTGACTCCTAAAGATATTTGATGTTAACCACTTGAAATGATTTCCTCTTTCCGTGACATCCTTATTTTCATTTCTGTTACTAAATGCCGTTTGTGTTCTGATTTGTGTCTATCAGTATGTCCAAGACTTAATGATTTTAGATTTCATATCATCTGATGAAGTTCAACATTTCTAAATCTAAATTTGTTATATCTTCCCAATCTGACCAGTTTTATTAGTTCTTTTAATGATTTTTTTTTCAGTCTCAATCTTGGCATTATCTTTACTTCCCATTTCCTTTACCTTTTATAATCCATCGGTTATTAATTCCTATCAGTTCTTTCTTCACTATGTATGTATTTATCCTTTATCTACTACTACTGTAAACACTCTAAGCTAAATATCCTCATCATGTTACTGAGTTTTTGTGAATATTTTACTAACTTGTCTTTTATTTCTTTTTTCCTTCAAGCTATTCTCTGAACTTTGGAAAGATTATAGGTGTTTTGTGGATCTTTGATTTCATTAATGTGTATGCTCCCTTCAACAATACAGTTTATCACAAATAGGATGTTTGCTCATTCTTTGTGAACTTCTGCCTGTGTTCTCCCATAAGTTCACCTAGCATTATCGAACACCTTCCTTGTAGTTTCCTGGACAAATTCCTGTTCTTTTTTAATTAAAACTAAAACTTAATTGCACTTATCAGCAAATAGATAATTTATGAAGAGTGCTTCTGTGGCATGCCATTCATGAAACATGAAATAATCCAGTGTTATTGTTGGCATTACTGACAGTGTTTCAGAGCATTCTGTATACAACAGTATTATCACATTCCTACCATGATTCTAAAGTACATCCTAAACATCTGGTGACTAATATTATATGTATTATAAAAATTAGGAAAGTTCAGGCTTCATCTTTTCCCAAATGTATTTCTTTGTTTGCAAAATTCATATTCAAATAGTTGTGTTTCTTATTTTTATACAGAAGTTCTTTCAAATACCAAATAATTATCAGAAAGGATATAGAAATAGTAGAGTAAAATCTTGATCCAGAAAGTATAAGAATTAATACATTGAGTACAATTAGCATTTATTATGACATATTTTAAGACAAATTTTAAATTTATTTTTAGAAATAAATTTATTTTTATATGTATTTATGATGTGTCTCCAATTGCCTTCCTTCAATTAGTCAAAAAAAAAAAAGAAGAAAAGGAAATGAAAACCTTCATTAAAAACACGCATAGTCCTGTGAAACAAATCCATATGTTGGCAATGTGGGGAAAACATATGTTTCTTTCTAAATTTAATGTTTATCACTTATATGACAGGAAGTGAGGTAGAGTATTTTGTCTTCAGTCTTTTGTCCTTGTAGTTTATCATTGATCATTTCAAAGTTTTCTTAAATCATTGCTCTCATAATAACTCCCACCTACCCATGCGTGCCTTCTGTAGGGTCCTGTGATGATGCTATATGTTTTGCCTACCATATCAAGTCCAAAATCATCTTCCTTGGCTTTCAAGCTCTGTGATTCAACCCTTTGCACTTCCTGGAGGAGGATAACCCCATGGCACAGCCATTAAGAGTGAGCTGAAATTTTAGGGAAGAAAATCCCTACTTCCCTGTGTCCACAAGGCAGTTAGGTGGCACAGTAGATAAAGAGCCAGACCTGGAGTCAGGAAGAACTGAGTTCAAATATGGCCTCAGGCACTTAATAGCTATGTGATCCTGGGCGAGTCACTTTGTCTCTCTTTGCGTCTGTTTTCTCTACTGTGAAAAGGAGTAATAATAGCATCTGCTTCTCAGGGTTGTTGTAAGGATCGAATGAGGTAATAACTATAAAGCACTTAGCATGGTGCCTGGCACATAGTAAGCACTTTATAAATGTTAACTATTAAAAGTGTAAAAGATTTGTAAAGTGAGATGTTTGAATGTAAAAGTATAGTTTTATATTTTCCTATTCATTCTTTTTTTTTCTTGTGTCATATTTTTATTTATATATAGTTGATCCACCTGAAGAATTGGGAGCTAGTATTTCAGTGACTTCAGATGAACTAGAGAAGTTGTTATACAAACCCCAGAATGGTGAATGGGGTAAAAAATCCCGGGATGAAGAATGTGAAAGAATAATCAATGGCATTGATCAGCTTTTGAATCTTGGTAACAGTTTACATTTTATTAGAAATATCAAAATTTTGCAAATCATCAACACAAATTGTTGTTTATGAGATATTTACATTGTATTTTGAATTAATGTTTTGGTTTTACTAGTTATCTTAATTTGACTATTTCCTTGGTGAATAATTTTGAGAGAAATGACAGGATTTAATTTCTTTTTAAAAATAAGATTTATTGGTGTCCTTTGTTTTTATATTGTTCATTTCTGGAAATCTTGTTTTGCAAATAAGAAAAAAATATACAGTACAGTCACTGTATGGAAGTACAGTGTGTTCCAAGCTTTCAGTGTCTTAAAGATCTTAGATCCAAGTCAAAGTCTGATTGTTAACCCTTTCCCCCGCTCCTTTCCTTTGGCCTTGGTCTGAGCTCTACAAGTTTCTGACTTGGGTTTGGGTCTGAGCAACAGTAGAATGCTGCTAGACTCAGCCCTTTATTAGCCAACTGGAAGGCTCTCTAGGCTTCACCATGGTACAGGCTTCCTGTCTTCATTATTCCTCTGCAGGCTTCAGATTGGACTAGGAGTTGGAACTGAGACCCCCACCCCTACCTCACCCCTGCTCCTGGTGAATGAGCCACAAAATTGCTACTTACCTCTGACCTTGTTATTTCTACCTTCCCTCCACTGATCCCTACTCCTCAGCATAGGTCCTGGATCTTTGATATGGAACTAGGTAGTGGATGCCAGATCTGCCAAATGTCACTTGTTCCTATCACAGTATCCCAGTATGGATCTGGGACCTCTTCATGACCCAGTGCACATCCTCTCCTTGTGCATATTCCTGGCCAGACCATATCCCCAGTTTTCTTAGACTTATGTTTTTTAATGCCGGCCTAAGCACTCTGTATGACTTTTTTTTTTTTTTTACTTTTCCCATCAGGATTTGGTCTGGTGTGTTTTCTAGATCTGTTTTGGGCAGTTTGATGGGGAGCTTCTTGCTATTCTGCTGTCTTGGCTCTACCTCTCAATAAATCAGTCAGCTCACAACCTCCATGTCATTTTTAAATACTCATTTTTTTCTCTCCCTCCCTTACCCTCACCCCCTAATATCTAGTCTGTTGCCAAGTTCTTCATTCTGCCTTCATAACATCTCTCCTGTATGCCCCTTTTTCTTCTCCAACACTGCCACCACCCTGATGAAGGCCCTCATCTCTTCATGCCTAGCTTACTGCAGTGTCCTTCTGTGGCTGGTTTCTTCCTCCTCTAGTCCACCTTCCATTTAACTATCAGACTAATCTTCCTAAAGCACAGATCTGATCATGTCACCTTTCCCCACTCTTCCTTTACTCACTAACTTTGCTGGCTCCCTTTTACTTCCAAGATCAAATATAAAATCTTCTGTTTGGCTTTTAAAACCCTTCATAACTGTCTTCTCACCATCTTTTCTCTGCCATTTACTTGCAGTTCAGTGACACTAGGTTCCAGGATGTTCTTTGAGGAAGACACTCCTGATTCCTTCACCAGCTGTCCTCCATGCCTAGAATTCTGTCCTTCCTCATCTTCACTTCTGGTTTCCCTGGCTCAAGTCTAAACCAAAATCTGATCTTCTGCAAGAAGCCTTTCTAGATCCCATCTCTTTTTATTATTTCCAATTGTGTGTGTGCGTGTGTGTGTGTGCGCGCGCGCGTGCGCGCACTCACACATGCACACACACACACATATATATCTTGTTTATGCATCATTATTTTCACATTGTCTCCTACATTATTCTGAAAGCAGTAATTGGGTTTTTTTTGTTTTGTTTTGGGTTTTGTTTTGTTTTGTTTTTGTCTTTCTTTGTATCCGGCACATAGTGGATACTTAATAATTCCTCATTGATTTATTGGGCACCTACTATATATACCAGGCCCAGTGCAAGTTTATATACTTAAGACACAAATGTAATGAGGTCTGCATTCTATCAGGGGAAACATATACATATAAATACATACAAAATAAATACAAGATAGTTTGTGGAGAGAAACATTAGCAGCTTGGGTAATGATGAAACATTTCTCATGTCAGAGAGGTGATTAAGTAGAACTTTGAAGAAAGCTAGGGATCCTGAGAGGTAGAGATGAGGGAGAGTGCCTACAGCCTAAGTAAAGGCATGAAGATGGAAGATGACAGTTTGTATGTGAGTGAAAGAAAGAAGGCCAGTTTGATTGGACAATTAAATGCATGAAAGGCAGCTAGGTGGAGCAGCAGATGTGGCCTCAGACACTTACTAGCTGTGTGATCCTGGGCAAGTCACTTAACCCTGTTTGCCTCAGTTTACTCATCTGTAAAATAAGCTGAAGAAGGAAATAACAAATCATTCCAGGATCTTTGCCAAGAAAGCCTCAAATGGGGTCACAAAGTGTTGAACGAGACTTGACTGAACAATGGAATTGGAGCCAGGTTGTAAATGGAGTTTGTATTTGATTTAAGTTAACAAAAAGCTGTTGGAGTTTATTGAGCAGAGGAGAGATACAGTTATGTCAGTGCTTTATTAGGTGTGTCACGATTGGATTTGAATGAGTCAACATTGATATAGGACAAAAGACTATTGTAATAGAGGTTACTGGGGCTGTGAGAATATGGAGGGAAAATGGATTTGAGAGATGTTATAAAGCTAGAACTGCCAAGATTTGATGCTTAGTTAGGATATGTATGGTGAAAGAGACTAAGAAGTTATGGATCATTCTAAGTTTAGGAACTTGGATGAATAGAAAGGTATTGGTGCCTTCAACAGAAATAGAGAAGTTCCAAAGGGTGGTGCATTTGAGGGAGAACTTACAGGGGACCTCTGTTTTGGACATGTTGAGTTTGAGATTCTTATGAAACACATAGTTTTAAATGTTCAATAGGCAGTTGATGATAACAGAAGTGGAGCTCAGGAAAGACACTAGGGAGGGATATGTAGATCTGAGAGTCATCTGCATAGAGATGATGATGAAGTCCTTGGGAACTGAGAAGGTTACAGAGAGAGAAGAGGGCCTAGAACAGAGCCTTAGGGCATATGTGTAGTTACATAAAGGTAGGTAAGTCTTTTCTGCCAAGTGGAAGGAAACAAGTTTCATTATCTTTGGGTCTGTGTTCACTGAGATGTAGTTATTCAAATGGCCATTTTATTTAAATGGCTTTTTTTTTTTCTTGTAACAGATATAGCTGCAGCTTTTGCAGGTCCAGTTGACCTGTGTACATACCCAAAGTACTGTACAGTGGTAGCCTATCCGACAGATCTTTACACCATTCGGATGAGACTTGTCCATCGATTTTACAGGTCAGTAGCCAATTAAGGAATTTAATTTTAAAATGTGCTTCCTTCTTCCTATCTACAAGATTTGTAGTAAACAAGGAGAATGAAGATTTTGTTTACAAAAAACAAAAAAATTATAAGATTAGAATCTTATTATTCTAGTTTCTTTTATTTTAGGATAACTTTGGTATTAAAAAAGGAACTATATCTGTTAGTCTTAGTCATTATTTTTTCTTTATGTTTGTCTAAAGAGTTGACCATCTTAAGGAATAACAATGAAAATAATTTTTCTCCTGCTAATGTGATTTCCTATATTGTGGATGGATATATTTCTTCTATATTTATTATTTAGTCCTATATGAAAAATAAAGGCTTTTTTGTGAAGATTTTATCAGTAATAAAAAATGCTTTGTGCATGAACAGTATTTTTAATTCACTATCTGTGGTATAATCTCTTTTAAAAGTAATATTTTTTTAAACTATTCCAACTTCCAAGTTTAGAAAGTGATCCCTGGTTGTAGAGAAGTGGAAATGGTTAGAAAGGAATAATTGACAAAAAAAAAATTTAGAATTAAAGTAGCTCTGAGACTACTGAAGAATGTTTTCTAAATAAAAGCAATTATTTTATTAAATTTTCCAAAATATATTGGATCATTCTTTGTGGGAGATAGTATATGATGTAGTATATTCTTGGCAGGGATGTGTACTCTAGAACTAATGATTTAATATGGTTTACTGTTTTACTTATAAGTCATGTTAGCTAAATGGCATTTCAAATTAGTTTCTAATATTAGCATGTTAACCTACTAATTAACTGATTTTATTCTTAAAGTCTTTAATTTGGTTTATAATTATGCTTCAGTTTGGTAGATTATTGAGTATTATTAAAGACCAATCATGACTTTGTACCTGGATCAACTCTAGAATATCTAGAAATACAAACTTTATACTTTATAGTTAAATTATGAAATAAGTAATATTTGCAAAGCACAAGGCCTAGCACATAGTAGATACTATATAAATGCTTATTCCCTTTCCCTTTCAATGTTCATTACCAATTGATAGTATCTTCTGACATTTTTTTCTATGAAACCTAACTTCTGTGAGGTTACTATATAAGCAACATCCATACAGGTTTTAGTTTATTATTTATTTGGTAAAAATGAGATAACATGCAGCATGGCTTCAGAATATAGAGCCAACAGGAAGATATAGGGGGAAAATCACATAACTTCTCAATTCCCCAGACATTTCTTAGAGGTAGAGGTGTCAAACTTAGGACCCATAGGTGTCCCATACTCTGAAACCAGATTAAAATGTAATTAGAAAATGTTTAACAAAATAAATAATATAATATGCAGCCTACAACAATCCATCTCTATTTGAGTTCGATACCACTGCTCTAAGACACTAAGTTATCCTTATCAGTCCGTACCAATGGAGGGAATTTCCACACTGGTATTTCCCTTACATTTATGAAATTAAACATCCACACATGACATTTTACTTAGTAGCTTCTCTCCCATATCCCGTGAGGAGACAAGACATTTTAGTTTTTCACCCATATTTTCCCCAAACTAATATAATCATTCATGATTGTGATAGAGCTGATAGTACTAGAGGAGGTTCATAATGTTTTTGTACATTTGGATTAACATCATAAGCATAAATTTGTTATATCTACCCTTAATCACACTTTTTCATTTTCTAGTCCCAAATCTACCAGCTTCTCAGTGTTATTTTATTTACTTTGTTTTAAAGGAGGATTTCTGCCCTAGTCTGGGAAGTAAGGTATATAGAATATAATGCCAGAACCTTTAATGAACCTGGGAGTGCTATTGCAAGATCAGCTAAGAAGATCACTGACCAACTTTTAAAATTCATTAAGTAAGTAGTAGTAAGGATACTTTCAACTACCTATTATTTTATTATTTTTCTGTACTGTATGTTTTTGCCTTTGAAGCATAATATCTGTTACTTTAAATGATATACCTCATTGTTACAGTAGCAGTGTTCTTTTCAGTGGTAGAAAATAATGCCAATTAAATTTCATTTTTTTTTCTTAACTCTGTATTGTAAATTGAATGTCAAATTGTAGACATTCATTCCAGAAAGCAACCTGGTTCTTATAGTCCTATAGCTCTTTTGACCTAACAGCTCTTCCCTGTCACCTCCTTCCATCTTTTTTCCACAGATTGCATTTCTTCTTTTGAAAATTGATTGTTCATATCCTTTGATCACTTTTCTGTTAGGGAATAGTTCTAGATTATTTGTATTAAGTCCACTCCTTTGAGAAAGGAATTGTTTTATTCTTTGTAGTCGTATCCCTAGTTCCTAGTACAGAGTCTGGTACATAGCAAGTGCTTAATAAATGTCTGTTGACTTATTGAATTCCTTATGTGTTTGGATATCAGAAATGTTTGTTGTAAAGATTTTTCCTTCAGTAAATTTTTTTTCTAGCTTTATTAATTTTGTTTGTGTGTATTGTTTTTAATTTTATGTTATCAGAATTGTCTACTTTTTCTTTTAAGATCACTTATCGGGGCAGCTAGGTGGCGCAGTGGATAGAGCACCGACCCTGAAGTCAGGAGGACCTGAGTTCAAATCCGGCCTCAGACCAAACACTTGAAACTTGCTAGTTTTGTGACTCTGAGCAAGTCACTTAACCCCAATTGCCTAACCAAAAAAAAAAAAAAGAAAAAAAAACAAACAACAAAAACCAAGATCATTTATCTCTAAGGCTTCTCCCCCTAGTTATAGTGCAAAGTACTTCTGTTCTCTTCTTTTTTTTAATGATGTGACCTATATTTGGTTCATAATTTTATTTGAAATTTCCTGAGGTATACCAGGAGATACTGTTCAGTCATTTTCAGTCGTGTTTGACTCATGACCTCATTTGGGGTTTTTTTGGCAAAGATACTAGATTGGTTTGCCATTTCCTTCTCTGGCTCATTTTACAGAGTATTATTAAAGATCAATCAAGACTTTGTACCTGGATCAACTCTAGAATATCTAGAAATACAAACTTTATACTTTATAGTTAAATTGTGAAATAAATAATATTTGCAAAGCACAAGGCCTAACCCATAGTAGATACTATATAAATGTTTATTCCCTTTCCCTTTCCATGTTCATTACCAATTGATAGTATCTTTTGACATTTTTTTCTATGAAACCTAACTTCAGGTTACTATATAAGCAACATCCATACGGGTTTTAGTTTATTATTTATTTAGGAACTGAGGCAAACAGGGTTAAGTGACTTGTCTCAGGTCACACAACCAGTAAATGTCTGATGCCAGACATTGAACACAAACCCAGGAAGATGAGTCTTTCTGACTCCAAACCTGGTGGCATTGTACTATGCCACCTAGCTGCCCATACCAGAAGATATTGGCATAAACCTGATTTCTGCCAAACTGTCTTACAGATTTCCCAGCAATTATTCTCAAGTGAGGAATGCTTACCCCACTAATAGACCTCCTCAGATTATTGAAAACTAGGCTACTATGTGTGTTTGCTTTGGTGTTTTACTTATCTAATTTATTCTCTCAATCGATTTCTCTATTTTTTATTCAGTACAATAACTTTGATTATTATAACTTTGTAGCATACTTTAAGATCTAGTAATTCTAGTCTATCTTCTACTTTTTTTTTTAATTTCTGTTGAAATTTGCTGACTTTTTGTTTCTCTAGTTGAATTTCATTATTATTTTGACTAGTTCTATAAAGGGACCCCTTGGTAGTTTGGTATTGTACATGATTTATAAAATAATTTAGATACTACTGTCATTTTTGTTAAATTATCAATTTACCCTATCAGGATTGACCATGAGCAGTGACTATCCAATTATTTCAGTCTTCCTTTATTTTTGTGAAGAGCCTTTTACAGTTGTACTTAATCTAGGTACTGAGCCTATCTTGGTAGGTTAATTCCCAGATGTTTTATGCATTTTGCAGTTACTTTTTAAAAATTTTGTTTTTAAAGCATTCTTTTAATATGATCCTAACAAACATGAGCATTTCATTACACAAAGAACAGGAAAAATGGATTGTATATGAAACTATGAAAATTAGTTACATAGTTTTTTAAAGCTTATACAGTTATCCCTTCCACATCATGACGTTCCCCATCATGGTTTCAAGAAATCATGGGCCAGTATAAGAAATTAAATGGGAGTTTTGTGGAAGCCACCGATGACATTGAAAAAGTTTAGAAACTCAGGAATGCACAAAATATATGCATATAGTATTGTGTAATATCAACATATTTTATCTTTTAATACCATAATAATTGATACTACTTCTCTGGTACAAAGTAGGGGGACCAAAAAATTTTGCACAGATTTTTCAGATCATGGGTGCAATGCACTCCTAGACCCTGCAGTGTGGAAGGAATAACTAGTAAATTTAACGTAGTAGATCCCTGTTTCTCTTCTCATTTTCCTCTTGCTCCCTTCTGTGTATTTTTTGTCTCTGTGATGTTCTTATTTTTTTGGATATCATCATGACTACTCATCAACTCTACTTCTCCCCCTCCCCCCAACCTTCCAGGTACATTTTGTAGTTATTTTGGATAGAATTTTTTTCTCTCTACTGAATTTTATTAATAACATAAACAATGATGATTGTTGTGGTTTTCTTTCTTTCTTTGCTGAATTCACTAATACTTCATTTAATTTCAGTACTTCTCTAAATCATCATAACATCTGAAAAAAGAGAAAATTTTTTCTCCTCTTTACATATACTTATTCCATTGATTTCTTCTTTTCTTTAGCGTTTCTGAAACTATACTAAATGCTAGACCACATGCTGACTGTAACCTTGAGCAAGTCACTTAGTGACTACTCAAGCAGTTTACTAAACTTTTAAATCATAAAATAAAGACTCATTTGCATCAGTAGAGCGAATTTACTCATCAGATTACCTACACCAGATTGCCTACACCAATGAAATTACAGGTCTCAGCCCAAAAAAAGAATTCAGATAACTAAAACTGACACCTCCCCAGCTGCCCCCTGCCCTTGAGATCCCTGCCTCTGGTTGAAGTGGGTGGGAGGTAGGTGTGGGAGAGCTCATCCTTGATCCTGTGTCATTTGAGGAAGACGCTCAGGGGATTCACTTCATCATTTTCTCCTTGGATAATCTAATGGATTTCGTGATCTCCAGAAACTCATCGTTCTGCAATATGAAGTCAATTCTGAAACTCAAACTTCTTCAAATTATTTCCCTATCCCACAGAATTCATTATGTTTCCATGCCGCCCATGCTTACCAGCCTACCCAGGTGGCACACTACCTCTCCCTCCAGCCCTAGCTTTTAAAACTTCTTTTTCGGGCCAGCTAGGTGGCGCATTGGATAGAGTACCGGCCCTGAAGTCAGGAGGACCTGAGTTCAAATCCGGCCTCAGACCAAACACTTGACACTAACTAGCTGTGTGACCCTGGGCAAGTCACTTAACCCCAATTGCCTAAAAAAAAATAATAATTAAAAAAAAAAAACAAACTTCTTTTTCTATATTGTCTTCCCTTTATTAAATTGTGAACTCGAGGGTAGAGATTTTCTTTTGCTTCTCTTTTTATTCCCTGTTGTTTAGCGCAGTGCTTGGCCCATAGTAGATGTCTGATAAATGTTTGTTATTCTAACTCTGAAATAATAACAGTAACAATGGAAATACTTGCTTTACACTCTGATCTTATTTGAAAGACTTCGAATATTTATCCATTACAAATAATATCAGCTCTTGGCTTTAGGTATTTTGCCATTATTAAGAAAACATTGGGGGCAGCTAGGTTGCTCAGTGGATAGAGCACCAGCCCTGAAGTCAGGAGGACCTGAGTTCAAATCCAGCCTCAGACCAGACACTTGACACTTACTAGCTGTGTGACCCTGGGCAAGTCACTTAAGCCCAGTTGCCTTAAAAAATAAAAAGAAAAAAGAAAACATTGATTATAAGAAAAAAATTTAATAGGAATCCTGTTTTCTCCTATTATACATATACAGCCCATTTAGATGTCTTGGTCCCTATAGACAGCTATTTTTAGGCACTTTGTCACTTTTCTTCAGAGGATCCTGACTTTATCTGGAATAGAGAGAGAGTGACCTTGTTTTACAATTTCACAGCCCTTGGGGATAGCAGGCAATGTCTGTCCCTGTGCTGTCTTTTGTGGGTTTTGGAGGGTGGATAAGAACATACATTCTATTCATGGGTCCTTTTGATTCTCATACTCTGATACTCAGTTTTTCTTGAAGTGCTAATCATCACTTATCTTTATGAATCATCTTTGTAGTAGAATCATAAAGGCAACAACCATTGTATATATTCTCATTGAAGTAACCTAATTTTTTTTTCAGCAATCAAGACTGTACAAATATTTCTGAATTTTATAATACTGAAGATGATGAACAAGGCTGCACAGATGCTGATGATTTGGTATAAAATTCATTTGTTCTTTTGTTTGTAGGAAATAACTTTTCTTTATCCTAACCTAAAACCAAATGAGAAAATTACTTTAGTTTTAACTAGTTAAAACTAATTTAAAGTATTCTCTATGCTTTTCATTGTTTATCTCTTTACCAGTGATATATATGTTGATGGATAAACACAATTTTCAAAAAAAGGGGGGGGCAATATGCTGTAAATATGCTGTAAAATCCTATGCAGGATATGCACAGGTAGCAAAATCAGCATTTTTTAATTTTTAATTTTTCTTTTACTTCTACTAGCTTTTGAACAGAATAGTTCTAATCTTATCTAAATGGCTATGGGTTAAGGATAAAGAATTGTTCTGCTTAAAGGCACAAAATCTTTGCTCTCTTGATTTTTTTATCTTTTAGTGCCATAATTATGCTGTTCCTATTTAAAATAGGTTGGAACTAGAATATATTTTCTGATTTCTTGGCCTAAATTATTCTGGATAACCTTGTGAGAGAAGCTGTGAAATACACAATTATTCGTGAACTATTCTAATATTAAATAATAAAATATTTTCATCAGTAATCTAGTTCAATGCTTTAACCGTAGCTATATAGCAGTATCTCTAAAACTCTAAAAAAAATCTTTTAAAAAATTATTTGGAAGTTTTTTCTCTGCAAATTTTTGAGGCAGCATAATGTAATAGTGGCACTTAAAATCAGGATGACCATAAATGAGCAAGTCACTTAACTTATTAGTGGCTTAGGCAACTAACTCTCTTCAGATTCTAGTCTGTAAGTCAGTGGGCAGTTGGCCTTAATGGAGGGAGTTTTTTAGTTTTTTCTTTTTCTTTTTTTTTTAAGCCAGGAGAGGTAGTAAAGCTGAGATTATCCAGAAGGGGCATTATTTTTTACAGTGTACACAACCTGAGCAGTGAAATTTAAGTGCCGTGTGACCGTATTTAATTTTCTCTGAGTTCCCTCATCTGTTAAGTTGAGATAGATACAACCTTGAAGAATTGCTATAATTGAAAAATCATTTTTCTCATCATGCACTGTGTAAATGGCCTGTTATTATTTATGGGAGAGAAGACAGTATGGCACAGTAGAATGAGGTCCTGGATTTGAAGCCAGAGGCTTTAGATTCGAAATCTACCTGTCACTGTCTTCGTGTCCACTTTAATCTGTCTGGGCCTTAGTTTCTTCTTCATGAACTAGATATCTTAGACTTGGAATCAGGAAGAACTGAGTTCAAATCCTCACTCAGACACTAGCTATGTGACCCTAATCAAAGCACTAACCTCTGAGCCTCAGGTTCCCCATCTATAAACTGGAATTAATTATAGCACCTACCTCTTCAGGGTTATTGTGAGGATCAAATTAGATAACACCTATAAAACCCTTTATAAACCTTAAAGGCCTACATAAATGCCAGCTAGCTATTAGGTGACCTCTCATTTCCCTTTCCTAAAACTGTGGCACCTATTTAAAACATTTTTAAGCTTGAGATTGGTATTTTCTGTTTCTTTGTACCTATGGCAAATATGTAATGACCTGACTAAGTTTAATTGGGCTTTCAAAACAAAACAAACCCTTTTGTTAAAAATGCCATAGGGTTAGGTGACGCTGTTATTTTACTATTCATCATGGAATTGATTTGAGGGAATCTCAGAGTCTATCTAGGCTATAATCTATAGCTGAACAATAATCTCTTTTACTATGTCCCAGAAATGGTCATTCAGCCTTCATTTGAAGACCTCAAGTAAGAAAAAAAATCATTACCTTTCAAGCAACCCATTCTACTTTTAGGTAGCACTGTTAAGTTTTGTTTTTCATTTTTACATCAAACCTAAAATCCTGCCTGTCTGCAAATTCTACCTATTTTTCCTAATTTTGCCAGGATGGGGAGGAGGGGGCAGGGTGGGAAGAGGGAGAGAGGAGCCAAATGCTATGAAGATTCTCTTCTACATGATAGCCCTTCAGCTATTTAAAGGCAATTGTCACATTCCCCTGAATCTTTTCTTTTCCAGGCTAAAAATCCCTACTTCCTTGAAATGATGATTATTGACTTGTTTTCAGGGACACTTCTGGCCATTATCCATCTTGTCAGTATCCCACATAAAATAACCTTAGTCCTTTAGAGCTGAACACAGCACATCAGTTATTGTAGTAGGACAAAATACAGTGAGGCTACCATCTCTTTTGTTCTAGAAACTACCTTTCTTAATTCAACCCAAGATTATGTTAGCATTTTTCAGTGCTATGTTGGGTTGTTGATTAATGTTAAGTTTTCATCCCACTAAAAATTTCCCCATCTTTTTCAGAGAAACTACCATCTCTCCCAGCTTGTACTTATGAATTGATTTTTTTGACCCACAAATTTTATGCTCATCACATCTCATTTTTTTAAAAAATTGGCCCAACTTCCTTTGTTGTCAGGACCAAGAATCTTTTTGGATACTGACACTTATCATCTTAGGTATTAGCTCCCAAGTTTGTATCATCTGAAAATTAGATGAGAATATCATCTGTGCTTTCATCCAAAGAGTTGTTAAGAATAATAATCAGTATAGGGCCAAAGATAAGTTGCTGAGAGACTCCACTTGAAGTCTCCTGCCTAATTAACCTTTATTCAGTCATTCATCTGATTTCATAGTCCAATTAAGTCTACTAATACATGACTCATCCTGGCCTTCAGGCTAGTATGAAAGAATATGTCAAATGCTTTATGATTAGTACACAGAGATAGTTATGGATTTTTCCAACGAGAACAGACTGCATAGAGTTTTGACTCCAGTTTTTTTTTCAGATGAGCAAATTAAGAACTGAGGAGTTAAAAATTATCTAATTATGTATCAAATTAGTGACCGAGTTAGGATTTAGAACCCTGGTCTGCAGGCTTAATCTATTGTTCTTTCTGCCATGTGATCCTGCCTTTTTTATTAAAATTCTTTTTAGAAGCTATAGAAAGGTAATTTGATTATTCTGTTGAATAGATGATTCTGAAAAGTTAAACCAACTTTAAAGTGATCTGATTTATGTTCCTTTATAGGATGAGCATGATCTTCCTAAAACTTCTTCTGGAAGAATACGAGTGAGTTATTCTATTTTGTTCATGTTTTTAACATGTTCTTGACATTTTACAAGGATTATGCTTATTAAATTAGGGTTTAAATTGAAGGTTTTCTTTTTCTTGAAATAATTGAATAAATATTTTCTAAGTTCCTGCAGTGTCTTTAGATGGAACTAGTTAGGATTAAATGTTGATTGAATTAAAGATGATCAAGAACTGGAAGAGGTGGACTTCAGATATAGGTTTTAGAGCAGGAATAGTATTAGGAAGGGGTGGGAAGGACATTTTAGGTGAAGGAGAAAACCTGAAATACATGCTCTTGGAATAAGCATTATATGTTGGTGTGGGACAGAAGACAGACTTGACTGGTACAAGTGATTAGGAAATGAGGTCTGGACTCCATGTGGAGTAGAGCCAGATTATGGTAATCTTGAAAGATAGGGAGAAGAATTTGGATTTGATATTATAGGAAAAAGGGTACTTTGAGCTATGGAGTAACATGCTGAAAGTGGTATTTAAGAAAAAGTACATTATTCCTTTGGAGGTTTTTTTATTATGGAGTGGTAAGAGACCCAGGGTCATCAGTTGAAGTCTGTTTGTGACCCAGAGGCAAGATGATGGAAGCTGAATTAGAGTAGTTATTCTGGGATATGATAAGGAACAGAATTGAGCCATTTCAAGTAAAAGTAAATACTAATTGGTGACTGATTAGATTTGGAGAATTAAAGAAAAGGAGGTATGATTTTGAGTCTTTGTGTCCAGAAGAAATACACTATTTACAGAGAACAGATGTGTATGCATTTTAATTTTTAAAGACTTTAATTCATTGTAAATTTATTTTTTTAAGTAAGCATTTATTTTCTTCTACTCCAATGTCCCCAGTCCCATTGGGGAAAAGAAAGAAAAACAAAAACCTTGTAACAATTATATATACTCAAGCAAAACAAATTGCAGGTCTAAAAATGTGGGTCTCATTCTACATCTTCAGTTTGTTACCTCTGTCAGGTGGTGGGGGTAGCATTTTTCATTTATCTTCAGTGAATCATGGTTGGTCACTAAATCAGTTTTTAGTCCTTCAAAATTGTTTGTTTTTACCTTATTGTTGCTTATTTTAGTAAACTGTTCTGCTAACTTAATTCTGCATCAGTTCAAACAAGTATTCATAGGCTTCCTTGAAAACATTTCTTTCATAATTTGTTGTATTTCATAGACAATAATTTAGTTAGCTATTCCACAATTGATGGGCAACACCTAGGTCTCTAGTTCTTTGCTACTACAAAAAGAACGACCATAAATATATTTGTACATATGGCTCCTCTTTTGATCTCTTTTGTGTATAGGCCTAGTAGTCATATCACTAGATGCACAGTTTACTTACAGTGGCGATGGTTAGACCATCTAGAATGGTTAGACCAATCCATAGTTCCACCAGTAGTCTATTAGTGTTCCTGTTTTCTTATAGCCCTTCCATCATTTGTCATTTTGCTTTTTTGTCAATTTTGTCAAATTGTGTGAGGTGGGACCTCAGAGTTGCCGCATTGCTCTAATTATTAGTGATTTAGAATATTTTTTCAGAAGACTATTAATAGCTTGGATTTCTTCTCTTGAGGACTACTTGCTCATATCCTTTGACCATTTATCAGTTGGTGAATGGCTTATATTCTTACACATTCTAATCAATTCCTTATGTATTGCGGAAATTAGATCTTTATTAAACTGACATTTCAAAAGTTTTTCTAGTTAGTTGTTTCCACTTCTAATCTTAGCTGTGTTAGATATATTTGCAGAAATTTTAATTTTATATGATCAGAATTGTCTTTATCTTCTGTGATTCTCTCTACCGGATGTTTATGAATTCTTCCCCTATCCATAGATCTGGAAGCTAATTTTCTTCATTGAATAATTTATGATATGACCTTTAACATACAGATTGTGCATCCATTTGGAGCTTTTGCTATATGATATAAAATGTTGGTCTAAATTCTTAATTTCTACCATACTGTTTTAGTTCGTTTTGGTTTTTTTGTTTTTCAGTTTTCCCAGAAGTTTTTGTCCTTACCCCAGTAGCTAGGGTCTTTAGGTTTACTGAGCACTGGGCTACTCTGTTTGAGTTCTTCTGTATTTTGTATACTTAATTTGTTGATTCTTAGTATAATTTGAGATTTTATACTCTTTCCTTCTCCCTTTTTACATTATTTCTTTTGGGATTTTTAATCTTTTTTTATTTCGGATCAATTGGTACAACATTAAACAAATAAATTTAGGAAGCGCTGTTCTTCTTATTTTTGTGGCTTGACCTCACCATAAGCGATTAATATTTTTCCATTACTTAAATTTGAAAGGCTTTAATTTAGAATATATTTTAAAACATTTCAGTAAAGCCCATTTTCTAATTTTGTTACGTGTCTGTAACCTTCAGCTGGTTTTAAAAATATAAACTTCTTTTTTCTGTCATTTATAAAGCAATCTCTTGGTCATTACTTTGTTATTTTACAACATGGAGTTTAAAATGCATTTCTAGAATTTTGTTATTGGATAAATGCCCAGTAATAAGTATACCTTTTGTGGATTATCTGTAGTGTTGCATATCATTAGTTACACTGAGTCATTTTTGAAAGTTTTTTTTTTTGTAACAATAGTAGTGTCATATAACTTAATTATTGTAACAGTAAAGTTGCTCACAGTAATTATCATTTAGGATGATATTTTCTTTAATACATAGTTTATCTGGTATATAGTCTCCTCAAAAATAACTTATAGTTTTAGGAAACTGATGTTGTGAATATGTTTTAGGGGCATCATTGGAAGAAAAGGAACAATAATAAAACTAAATATGATAAAAATAATTGGCAGAAGCAATGTAAAGAACTAGTGAACTTAATTTTCCAGTGCGAAGATTCTGAGCCATTTAGACATCCTGTTGATTTGGTTGAGTATCCAGTAAGTTAATATCATTTGAATTTTTATTTTGGGGACAGTGGAATGTAATTGATACATCTTTGAATTAAACTTGTAAAGAACAAGATACACTCTCACGTATCTGGTGTGTCCAGGCTGTTAATAACTAAATTTTTTTTTTAAATGATGTTTGAGGAAAAAATTTTAAGTGTTTGTATTTTTAAAGTTCAGTATTTTTCATTTCTTGATAATCTGTACAAATTCAGCAAATGTTTATTAAACTTACTAAGCTCTTAATAAATTCAAGGTACTTTCTAGATGCTCAGGATACCAAGACATTATAACAGTAAAAAGCAATAGTCTGTTTACAGAAATTACTTTGTACTAAGGGAGTAACACGCATACTCAGTAATTCTACAAAAATTTCCCTTCCAATTTTGAGGTCATATGATATATCATGGTTGTGAAGGCCAAATGAGATTATGTGTAAAGCACTTTGTAATTGTAAAGCACTGCTTATATATGAGTTACTTTTTAAATGCAAGGATTTATCTACAGCAAGGTTATTGTCTTCCTTTCTCTTTGATTTACTACATTTTGGAAATGATGCTGATAAAGGAAATTCTTTTTCTGCCAATGCTAATACTAAGGAAACAAAGTAAAATCTGAAGTTTTGATACAGGAAGTTTTTTCCAGAAACTATCACTTTCAGTTGATTATATAGCATTTTGAAAAAAAAAATCATTTGTGATTTTCACTGGTTGTAGTTATATTTGTCTGATTGAACTTTTACTTCAATACAATGGGAAGAGCAGTGACTAGGGTCCGAGGGACCTACCTCTGATGTTGACTACTTGTATGATATTAGGCAAATCACCCTATCTGGGCCTTAGTCCTTCTCAATGAGGGGGTTGTACTCAATGGCCTTATAGCTTCTGGATCTATAATCTTATGGTTCAAAGAGGTGATTTTCCTTAACAGAAATGCTATATATGAGCATAATGCCCCTGAAAATTATCAGTACTTTAAACGCTTTATACTCATTTTAAGAATAAAATGATACATATACACCAGTCGAAAGGTCAAAAATAATTTTCCATTGTGAACCAAAGAGTCAGTTACACAGGTGTAGTTATATGCATAATCCACAAATCAGCACACATTAGTGAATATCAAGTGGAAAATATTGGCCAAGTTAAGTAGAAGATTGATTAATAGGTAATTAAGCAAATAGTTGCTCCATTTCCAAAGACTAGGCATTATTAAAGGCAGTTAAGTGTGGAACATTGGATAGAGTGCTGGGCCTGGAAGACCTCAATTCAAATCCTGCTTCAGACACTTTAGTGCTTTGTGACCCTAGGCAAGCCTCTTAACCTCTATTTGCCTTGGTTTCCTCATCTGTAAAATGGAGATAATAATAGCACCTGCCCCCCCAGGTTTGTTGTGAGTATCAGATGAGATAGTAATTGTAAAGTGCTTACACAGTACCTGGCTCATAGCAAGTATTATATAAATGTTAGCTGTTATTATCATTATCATGACTACCTTTCCCAATGTCCATAACATTATAAAGAGTTGATTATTCTTATTAACCATTATTTTTTAACCGGACCTGTAATTTTATTGGTATAGTGATCTCCCAGCAAGGAAACTCCCTCAGCTAGTGCAGATAGTCACCTGCTCTACATTTTATAGTTAACTGCCTTAGGATACTAAGAGATTAAATGATTTGTCCAGGGTCACATAGCCAGCATGTGTTAAAAGTGGTACTGGCTCTTAAGGTTGTCTCTCCTTTACTGTGTGATGCCTTCTACCCATTTACTTAGAATATTCTCTCCCCCCCCACCCCAAGAAAGAAAGACAGAAAATTATTTATTTTCTTTTTTAAGTTTAGCACTGGCTATATTGTTAATCAGTAAATGTTGACTTAAACTCTTGCTCCCAAACCCAGGTCTGTGGGCTATTTTTTTTTTCCTTAAGAAAAGGTAGTTTTTAAAAAAAGGTAGTTGTCGACTAAAAGAAAACCACTTCTGAGATCTGAATTCTCTTTCCGTGTGTTTGAAATGGGTGAATTGTATGGTGTTCAAGGATTTCTTGTAGATTTATCATTTTGATTCTGTAATTTGAAATTTTTTTGGACCTAGTTTTTTTGTGTTTATAAGAATATTTGTTGAATGACCTCTTTTTTCTTTCTTTTTTTTTTTCTTTTTTTTTTTTTACCTAGGACTATAGAGATATTATAGACACTCCAATGGACTTTGGAACAGTGAGGGAAACTCTGGAAGCAGGAAATTATGACAACCCACTGGAATTTTGCAAAGATATTCGATTAATATTTAGTAATGCTAAAGCATATACACCAAACAAGAGGTCAAAGGTAATTTTTAATAAGAATTTAAAACAAACAAAAAGGAAGGGTTTATTCACATAACCTGTGGGTTAGCACATGCTAGTTAGTGGTGAGTAGAAAAATTAACCCAGGTAAATGAAAAATGGATTTGTAACAATCCACCTTTAAAACCTTTGGTAACATTTTTATACACATTATATTGATACTTACATGTAAATCACAACTGTTAACCAAAGAGTTCATATAACTGTTTAAAATGTGTACTTTGTCTTAACTGTATTCCTTTCCTCCTTGTCTTTACCACTTGTCTATTCTAAGTTCTGTCAGTAGGTTCGTTTGGAGTCTTTGTTTTTGTTTCCTGTATGTTTTCCTTCTTGTGTGTGTACAGGGGAGTGGGGTTTGGGTAAGAGGTTTGTATATATTCACTTAAATATTTATTCATGGGGCAGCTAGGTGGCACAGTCGATAGAGCACTGGCCCTAAAGTCAGGAGGACCTGAATTCAAATCCAGCCTCAGACCAAACACTTGACACTTACTAGCTGTGTGACCCTGGGCAAGTCACTTAACCACAATGGCCTTTTAAAAAAAAAAATTTATTCACAAAGACCTCAAGAAATTACTTTGAGAAATTTACTCAATAGTGCCTTTATTGCTTTCAAACTTAGCCTTAGAAATTAAGAATAGAAACTGTCCTTAAGCTTTTTTTTTTTGATTGAAGTTTTTTTTTCCCCCTTTCACATCACTGGCCTCCACCCCAGCCCCATCAGAGCTCTCCTTGGTCATGTCTGAAAATATGTCTTGTTCTGTACCTCCATTTTACTCTTTATTTAGCAAATAGAATTTAGGGCAGAGATTTGAAATTAATAAATAATTTCCTTGACAACCAGATAAAAAGCAAATGTATTGGCCATGGCCAAGTAAAATCTTGAAATGCTTTTGAAGGCTATTTTATAATTAATTGTGTTTTTTTCATCTTCTTTTTAGATTTACAGTATGACTCTTAGATTATCTGCACTATTTGAGGAAAAAATAAGGAGAATTTCTTCTGATTTTAAAATTGGGCAAAAATACAATGAAAAATTACGAAGAAGTCAAAGGTGTAAGAGAAGGCAAGGTTCTACATGTGGCTATCAATCTAGCAAATTCAGGTGAATTGATGATGACGAATTATCATAACTTTTGGATTCTTTGATATTTTTGTTTATTCACATACAATAGATGTAGATTAAAGATAGATATGATATTAAATGATTTTAAAAGTCTTTGGGGAAGTCAGTTTTTATCATGTGTATATATTTTGTAACATTGGACTACAAGGTGCTATTTTAATCTGTAGTAAATATATCTTCAGGTAAAAGTCTGAAAAATAGTTTTTTGATATGTCTAACAAATCATACCTCATATTTCATGTAGAACATGGGTAGCTAGGTGGCTTGGTAGATGGAGCACTGGACTTGGAATCAGGAAGACTCATCTTCATGAGTTGAAATCTGGTCTCAGATACTTCCTAGCTGTGTGACTGTTTACTTCTGTTCCTCATCTGTAAAATGGGCAGGAGAAGGAAATGGCATACCACTCCAGTATCTTTGCCAAGAAAACCTCAAAAGAGATCAACAAAGAGTGAGACACAACTGAAATAACTGAACAGTAACAGTAAACTCATTCATAACTGATAGCCTCACAAGTTGTTAACATATGGAAAAAATGTAACCAGGCACATGTATAAACATTATCTATAGTGACTTGTAAAATGCAAAATAATTAGTAGCAAATTATTTCCTTAGATTAGTGCATTAATCCTGAGATTACTCAACCAACAAATATGTACAAAGCAAGCTATGTAAAGATAAATAACAATTAACAGAGGGATGCTACTGGAATTAAGAGGGGTTAGGGAAGACTTCCTGTAGAAAGTGAAATATAGGGATTTAAAAGAAGCCAAGAAGGTCAGTCATCTGGAGAGGAGGAGAAATAGAATTCTCAGAGCCAAGAGATGCAGTGTCTTGTTCATGGAACAGCCGGGAGGCCTGTGTCACTGGATCGAAAACAATGTGTCCTACCTGGAAAGGTAGGAGAGAGCTAAGTTATAAAGAGCTTTGAATGGCAAACAGAGCATTTGTATTTGCTTTTGGAGGCAGTAGGTAGCCACTGGAGTTTGTTGAGTAAATAGGAGTGGGGGTGAAGGGGGGAGACATAATCATGACTGCATTTTAGTAAAATCATTTTAGTGGCTGAATGGAGTGGGAAGAGACTTAAGGCAGGCAGACCCACCAACAGGCTATTGCAGTAATAATCCAGGCCTGTGTTGATTAGGGCTTCACTAGAGTGGTGACAGTGTCAAAGGAGAGAAAGGGGCATATTTAAGAGATGTTCCAAAGGTGAAATGAACAGGCCTTAGCAATAACTTTGGATATAGGAGATGAGAGATAGTGAAGAATCTAGATGAGCCTGAGGGACTGAGAGGATGATATTGTCTTCTACAATAATGGGTAAGGGGTGAGGTTAGGGGGGTGGAATTTTCAGGGGAGGGGAATGAGTTCAGTTTAGGGTATGTTGAGTTTAAAAGGTCTATTGGACATCCAATTTGAAATGTTTGAAAGCTAATTGGAGATGCAAGATTGGGGGTCAGCAATCTGTGGAACTGATGAGTAGTAGTTTAGTGAGAAAAGGAAACAGGGCCCAGGACAGAACTCTACAGGACACCTAAAGTTAGAGGGCGTGATCTGGAGGTTTGTTTTGTTGTTCGTTCATTTCAGTAGTGTCCAACTCTTCATTGACCCTATTTGGGATTTTCTTGTCAAAGATTCTAGATTGATTTGCCATTTCCTTTCCCAGCTCATTTTATAGATGAAGAACTGAGGCAAACAGAGTTAAGTGATTTGCCCTGAATTACATAGCTGGTAAGTGTTGAAGTCAGATTTGAACTCATGAAGATGCATCTTTCTGATTCGAAGCCCAGTGTTCTATCCACTGCACTACCTAGCTGCCTGCACCACCTAGCTGCCCCTATGATCTAGAGGAGGATATAACAAAGGGGACAAAGAAGGAGTGGTCAGATAGGTAGGAGGAAAACCCGGAAAAAATAGTGTCCCGAAATCCTAGAGAAGAAAGTACCAAGGAGGAAAGAGTGATCAACAGTTTCAAAGGCTGCTGAGGTGACTGAGTGAGGATTGAAAAAAGACCATTCCATTTGCAACTAAGAGATCATTAGTAACTTTGGAGAAAGCAATTTCAGTGTAATGATAAAGTTGGAAGCCAAATTTTAAGGGGTTAAAGAGAAAGTGGAAGCACTTATTATAGATAGCTTTTTCAAGGAGTTTAGCTGTGAAGGGCAGAAGAAAAATAGGACAAATAGTTATCAGTGATGGAATGATCAAGTGATGGTTTTTTCCAGAATGGAAGAGACATGGGCTTGTTTGTAGGCAGTAGCGAATGAATCAGTAGAGGGAGAGATTGAAAATAAGTAAAAGAGTAGAGATAACAGAGTGGGCAGCTCTGTTCGAAGAGACAGGGTAGAATGAGATCACTTGAACAAGTAAAGGGGTTAACCTTGGTAAAGAGTAAGGCCACTTTATGTGAAATGGATGAAGTAGGAAAAAGTGGCAGAAGCTACCTGATTGATAGATTAGTAAGAGGGAGTTCCTAGTAAATGGCCTCAATTTTTTCTGTAAAATATGCAGCAAGGTTCTCAGCTGGGAGTGATGGCAAGAGGAACCATGAGAGGGTTGAAAACAGAGAAGAAAAGATTTGGAAGAGCCAGTGTGAAGACTGGGGTAATGAGTTGATAAAGGAGGTATAGTAGCATTGCCCAGCTACAGTGACAGTTGGTTGAAGCTGTATAACATAAATTTGTAGTGGACCTGGTGAAAAGTTGCATAATTTTCTCCACCTTCATTTCAGCAGCACAAGTACAAGAGCAAAGGCAATAATTAATGGAAGTGATTCAGCTTGTCTGGGCATACTTGGTAATGTTATAAGAAGGCTTGGGATTCAAAGGAAGACAGCGTAGAGTTGAATTGGTTCAATAAAGACGGGGATAAGAGGAGAGAATGGCTAGTGCATGGGAGGTGACCAGGGAGACAATTGAGGGGTCAAGGGATTGGAGGTCACTGTGCAGATAAAAAAGAGTAGGGTTATACAAGCCAAGGCAGAGGGAGAAGTGAAAAGCCAATAGATTATGTTTGCATAAGGGGATTTCAGAATTCTTGTACGTGGAATTGGTACATTTATGGGTGATGACAGGATCAAGGATGTAACCATCTTTGTGTGGCTGAGGTGGGATGGAAGGATGAGTAGCTTTTGAGTGGTGAGAATATTTGAGGAAGAATTGGTATGTATGTTGAAGTCCCCTAATATGAGGGCAGGAGTTGAGGAGGAGAGAAAAATTGTAAGCTTAATATTGAACTCATTGAGGAAGGAAGGGGAATGAACAAAGGGTTTTATAGACATTACGATTCAGGACTTTGATAGGGTGATACATATGAATAGAATGAACCTCAAAGGAGTAGAGGTTTTTATGAGTGGTGGAGGAAGGGGGAGAACCTGGAGGTGTCATTGGAAAAGAATATTCCAACTCCCCTGCCTTATCCTGTTAGCAGAGTAGAATGAGTGCAGGTACAACCAGTACTGGAAAGGGTGGGCAGGGAGACTGTGTGTCTCATCAGGGGAAAGCCAAGTTTTAATAAGAGCTAGTAGATGGAAGAAGTGGGAGAGGAATAGATTTAAAATGGAAGGGCTTGTTGGCTATGGAAAAAGCATTCCAGAGGGTTCAGTGGAAAGACTGGGGGGAATTATGATAAAAAACTTTTGGGATGAGAGGGTTGAGGGTCATTGGAATGAAGAATTGAATAGTAGGGAGTGCAGAATGGGATTTGGCTGATAATCTATAGGAGTTCAGAATCACTGGAATGTGAAAGGTATGACCAAGTGTGAGAATGTTCATCAGTAAGTGGAGAATACCACTCCTCTACCCTCAAAGGACAGATTTAGGAGCAGATGGAAGACCAGAAGTCAAGGGAGGGTGTGCTCATTGCACTGGAGGTTCTCTACATCTCAATTGGAAAATTGGGCTAGCTGGAGGAGGTGGAAGTTGTCTTTTGCTGGTCCAGATGGAAATGGTTGCTTTGGGACAAATGGCAGATGCCCCGCCTAACAGCCTTTCCTCAGGGGACACACTGTGCCTCGCAGGAGATGGAAAACTCAGATTAGTTTATATCTTTACTTATTTAATGTGTGACTTACCATTACTGCTGTCAAAAGTTTGCATATTTAAAAGATAAGAATTGCTAATATTACATTTTAATGTTTTATGAACATTTTAAATGCCAGTTATCTGTGTCTGATAGGGTAAGTGTGAAAAAAGAGGCTATAGTTTTTAAAAATTACTAATCAGTTTTTTTCTTCTGCAGCCAGAGATTGTGAATGAAAGAAAATCTGTGTTTCTCCTACATGTACATCCCCATTAGTTTTGGAATCAGTAAAGCAATCTCATTTTCCTGACCTCCTGTCCCAAATGAACAAACAAAACCACTTGTCTCATTCTCAGCTGACATAGTGCCAAAGAATGTAAATTGAAAAAAATAATAAACTGTCTTGCTGTTAGCTTCTGCCATCTTTACTCTGGAATCAGTCAATGCCTAGTTTCTGCCAAACTGCTTTCCAGTTTTCTGGAATCAGTGAAAACAACAGCAAGAGAAGACATCATGCATTGAGATAACATGTCTTAGATACTTGCAAGATTTGTTCATCTGAAATATTGATTTCTGGCCCTGTTTTCTTCACTACTGCTTAGTTCCCTCTGTATGCTTTGAACAATCTCAGGTTACAAAAACTTTTCTGTTAACTCCTTGTGTTCTTTTCTAATATACAAATAAGACAGTAGAAGAAACAAATTGTTTATCTCCCGCCAAGGCTCCCCATTTTAGTAGTCATCATATATGTTAACTCCTTTTAAAAAATTTTTTTTATGACTATATCTAATCATCTTTCTGTTAAAGAATTTTTTGAGTATATCATAGCCTACATTAGGACAAATTTGAATGCAAAATTAAGGATAAAGGATTAATAATTGTTCATTGTTTATATTATGAAAGTATTATTTTCTTATGATTATGGTCAAATTCAGAACCTTTCTGTCTCTAAGTCAGGAATTTGGGTAGATTTTTTCCACTTAGCTTTTAAGCCTACTGACACTTCTATATATTTATACATGATTTCTCTTTCTTCATCTTTGAACAGAAATGTGAAATGGAAACAATTGAAATCCCAGGCAAAGGTCATACCTGACTTGGAAGGTTCTCCTACTCAGTCTACCTCTAATAGTGCAGCTTGGTCTTCAAGCCAGAAGACCACAGTGAGCTTCTCTGCCAATATTACTTCTGGTGATTCATCTGATTCTGCATCATCTGAAAAAATTGGAAGGACTAGACCCATAACTTTAGCAAACTCTACAATATTAACTGGTGAGAAATGAAGACTATTTAAGGATATTGAAACCAAAATCAGTCCCATAATTTTGCCTAATATGCTTGTATTCAGTGTTAGGTGCCGTGGGGCAATTTGAAAAAAAAGAGGTATGAAACCTGGTTCTGACCCTCAGAAGGACTTTATAGTCTAATTGGGAAAATAGGCACAAAAATTAAAGAACAGTGAAGTGCTAAATTGTGTAGTACTCATCCAAATGGTCAATGTGTGCCAGGAAAGGACTTGAGTTGGGCCTTAAGGGATCAGTAGGAGGGTAGGAAGGAGTTGTTAGATGTACATATTTGAAGGGCAGCAGATTATGTATTAATTCATTTCAGTATACTCAGTATGATTCATGATATTTCATATAATCAATTTTTTAATTTAAATTTTCTTTTTATTAACAAGTATCAACATGTGAATGTTACTATGCAGAGATAAGAACAGAAAAAGAGTATTGTTTATGAAGTGTTGAAAGTCTGCTATATAATAGTTACAAAATTGCTCTATTTGTCTATGTGCCCCTCTGAACTACCTCGCATGTAATTTTTTAAATGATGCTTTATTTTCTTTCTATCATTGTCTACCAGTCCCCCAGCTACTCCTTTGGTTACATATGTGTGTCTAATAAAACAAATCCACACACTGGCCATGTCTGAAAAATCTATGTCTCATCATCTCTGATCCATCTTCTCTGTGAAGTTGGAAGCATCATCCTTCATTTTTGGGGTTATTTATTGGTCATTGCATTGAATAATAGCTTAAGTTTTTCATTAGCTATTTTTGTTTACGTTATTGTAGCTGTAAAAATTGTCTATTTGGTTCTGTTCACTCCTCTCTGTATTAATTACTAAATGTATTCCCACGTTTCTCTGAATCTGTTCCCTTTGTCATTTATTGTAGCACATATTCCAACATTCACATGCCATATTTTATTCAGCTGTTTCCCAGTTTATGAGCACCCATTTTCTTCTCAGTTCTTTACAACTACAAAAAGTGTGGCTAAAATATTTTTGTACAATGGACCCCTTCCCTTTGTCTTTAATCTGTTTTTGATGTGCACAAATTAGTAACTTTTGGGACATACCTGTAGTTCTAAATTGTTTTTCAAAATTATAGGGCTAGTTTTCAATTCACTACCATTGCATCAGTGTCTGTCTTTCCAAAATCCTCCAGATTTGTCATTCCTCTTTTGTCATCTTTGACAGTCTGAATATCAGGTTGATTCTCAGTTATATTAATATTCATTTTATTTTTTTCCTGATTTTTAATATTTGTTGGGCTTTTTTGTTTTGGTTTTTTTTTTTTTGAGTTCCAAATTCTCTCTCTCCCCCTCCCATCCCTTCCTGAGGTAGCAAGCAATTTGTTGTAAGTTATACATGTACAAGCGTGTGAAACATGTTTCCATTTAATCATGTTGTGAAAGAAAACACACACACACACAAACACCACAGAAAAAAGGAAAGTGAACAATAGTATGCTTTGATCTGCATCAGTTTTTTTGAACTCCATCAGTTCTTTCTCTGGAGGCAGATAGAATTTTTCATCATGATTTTGGGATGGTCTTAGATCATTATGTTGCTGAGAATGTCATTCCCAGTTCATCATAGGATATCGCTGTTACTGTGTACAATGTTCTTTTAGTTCTACTCATTTCACTTTGCATCAGTTCATGTAAATCTTCTCAGGTTTTTCTTAAAGCATCTTGTTCATCATTTTTCATAACACAATAATATTCCATCACAATCATATAACACAACTTGTTCAACAATTTTCCAATTCTTTGCCACTGCAGAAAGAGCTACTGTAATCTTTGTACAAATAGGTCCTTCTCCCCTTTTTTCTTTTTATCTCTGAGATACAGACCTAATAGTACTATTGCCAGATCAAAGGGTGTGCACATAGTTCTTTAGGCATAGTTCCAAATTGCCCTTTAAAATGGTTGGTTCAGGGGGGCAGCTAGATGGTGTAGTAGATAGAGCACCAGCCTTGGAGTCAGGAGGACCCGAGTTCAAATGTGATCTTAGACACTTACTAGCTGTGTGACCCTGGACAAGTCACTTAACCCCAATTGCCTAAAAATAAAAAATAAATAAAAATTAAAAATAAAATGGTTGATTGAGTTCACAACTACAGCAGCATTGCATTTATGTCCCAATTTTTCTTCATTCCCTCCAGCGTTTATCATTTTCCTTTTCTGTCATATTAGCCAGTCTAATAGGAATGAAGAGGTACCTCAGAGTTGTACTTTTCACTTCTCTAATCAAGAGTGATTGAGTATTTTTTTCATGACTATAGAAAGCTTTGATTTCTTCATCTGAAAACTACCTGTTCATATCCTTTAACCATTTATTGATTCGGGTAATGACATATCCTTAGATATTTGACTCAGTTCTATATATATGAGAGAAATGAGGCCTTTATCAGAGACATTTGCTGTTAAAAAAATTTTTTCCCAGCTTTCTGCTTTCCTTCTAATCTTGATTACATTGATTTTGTTTGTGCAAAAACTTTTTAATTTAATGTAAGAGAAACTATCCATTTTACATTTTGTAATACTCTTTCTCTTATTCTTCCTTTTTCCAAAATTCTTCCCTTTTCCAAAGATCTTAGAGGTGTACTACTTACTCCATGCTCCCCTAATTTTCTTATGATATCACTCTTTCTGTCTAAATTGTGTACCCATTTTGACCTTATCTTAATACATGATGTGAGATTCCTAGTTTCTGTCAAACTATTTTCCAGTTTTCCCAGCGATTTTTATTAGATGTTGGGTTCTTGTCCCAAAAGCTTGGGTCTTTGGATTTATCAAACACTAGATTACTATGGTCATTTACTATTGTGTCTTGTGTACCTAATCTGTTCCACTGACTCACCACTCTTATTTCTTAGCCAATACCACATTGTTTTGATGATTACCACTTTCTAATACAGTTTGAGATTTGGTATGGCTTTGTTCACATTTTGTCATTAATTCTCTTGTTATTCTTGGCATTTTGTTCTTCCATATGGATTTTGTTATTATTTTTTCCTAGCTCTATATAATTTTTTTTTGCAGTTTGATTGGTATGGCACTGCATAAGTAAATTAATTTAGGTGGAACTGTCATCTTTATTATATTGGCTCAGCCTACCCATGAGCAATTTTTTCACATTGTTTAGATCTGACTTTATTTGTGTGAAAAGTGTTTTGTAATTGTGTTCATATAGTTCCAGGGTTTGTCTTAGTTTGTCTTACCAAGTGTTTTATGTTACAGTTATGCCTAGTTATTTTAAATGGAATTTCTTTTTCTATCCCTTGCTGCTGGACTTTGAGGGTAATATATAGAAATGCTGATGATTTATTTGAGTTTATTTTATATTCTGCAACTTTGCTAAAGTTATTAAACATTTCAACTAGTTTTTTAGTTTATTCTCTCGGATCCGCTAAGCATACCATCATATCATCTGCAAAGAGTGATAGTTTTGTTTCCTCATTGTCTATTTTAACTCCTTCAATTTCTTTGTCTTGTCTTATTGCTATAGCTAACATTTCTAGTACAATATTGAATAATAGTGGTGATCATGGGCCTCCTTGTTTCACACCCTGATCATAATGGGAAGGCTTCTCACTTATCCCCATTATAGATAATGCTTGTTTATTGTTTTAGGTAGATAACTACCTATTTTAAGGAAAGCTCCATTTATTCTTATGCTTTCTAAGTGTTTTTCATAGGAATGATGTTGTATTTTCTCAAAAGCTTTTTTGGATCTGTTGAAATAATCCTGTGATTTCTGTTGGTTTTGTTATTTATATGATCACTTATGCTGATAACTTTTCCTAAATATTGAACCAGCCCTGCCATTTCTGGTATAAATCCCACCTGGTTATAGTGTATGATCTTTTGGATATATTGCTGTAATCTCATTGCTAAGATTTAAAATTGTTGCATCAATATTCAGTAGAAAAATTGGTCTATTGTTTTCTTTCTCTGTTTTCACTCCACATAGTTTTTTGTATCAGTACCAAAAAAAGGAATTTGTCCCATAAAAAAGAATTTGAAAGGATTCCTTCTTTGCCTATTTTTCCCAAATAGTTTATATAGTAATGGAATTAATTGTTCTTTGAGTATTTGGTACAGTTTGCTTATGAATCCATCTGGTACTGGAGATTTTTTCTTAGGGAGCTTATTGACAGCTTGTTCAACTTGTAATTGTTCAATTTATTTTTCTAAGATAGCGTTATTTCAGTAATTCAGTTATTTCCTCGTCTGTTAATCTGGGCAAATTGTATTGTTGTAAATATTCATCTATTTCATTTAGATTGTTGGATTTATTGGCATATAATTGGGCAAAATAGCTCCTAATAATTGCTTTAATTTACTCTTCTTGGTGGTGAATTCACCCTTTTCATTTTTCATAAAACCAGCTCCTAAGTTTATTAGTTCAGTGGTTTTCTTATTTTCAGTTTTATTAATCTTTCGTTTGATTATCAGACTTTCCTATTTGGTGTTTATTGGAGATTTTTAATTTGTTCTTTTTCAAGTTTTTTTTAGGTGCAGGCCCAGGTCATTAAACTGTTCTTTCTCTGTTTTATTGATGTAACCATTTAGACATACAAATTTTACCCTAAGTACTGCTTTGGCTGCATCCCATAAATTTGTGTATATTGTCTCTTGTTGTCTTCCTCTTCAATGAAATTATTAATTGTTTCTGTGATTTCTTTGACCCACTCATTTTTTAGGATTAAGATTATTTAGTTTCCAATTAATTTTCAATCTATGTTTCTACATCTCATTATTAAATGTAATTTTTATTGCATTATGATCTAGAAAAGATGCATTTGATATTTGTGCCTTTTTGCATTTGGTTGTGTGGTTTTTGTTGTAGGTACCACATGTCATTGAGAAATAGGTATATTCTCTTTTATTCCCATTCAGTTTTCTTCAGAGATCTATTATATCTAGTTTTTCTAAAATTCTGTTCACCTCCTTAAACTTCTTCGTCCTTTTTGTTTGTTT